TCTTTAAAAAATACATACTAGACAAGTCCGATATCTTAAGAATTAATCCACAAACGTGAACAGATATTAAAAGACATTTTTTCTATGAGGAGTTCATAAACCACCTGCACACCTGTTAAGTTAATCTTTCAATAGTGTGCTCTGAGCCACCTGAAGAGCTTGATAGATGCCCTGAATATTACTGTCAGCCCAACAAAAGCTTCAGGCTGCATCTGACAAATGATAATTTCTTCCTCCCTCCATCTCTACCTCCCCAATTTCCTTCCCTCTCTTCATTAAATGCAAATCAATCAATAACTCATTCAGCACATTTCCGAGGCAGACAGCTCTCCAGAGAGAGACTGAAACCTGCCAGAGTCTGATAAAGTAGCCAGGTTACCAGGCAGGTAACCCATAACCGTCAATCATACGCATCCAAATCATAAAATAATTATGTGCTCTGCCAAAAACCACAGAGAAAGCAGACATGCAGAAGTTTCAAACCAAAAAGACCTTAACCGTTAAACCCACAAACTGAACAAAATAAGGATTTACAGCCTGTTACGTAAATAACTACAGAGCAAAAGAAACTGGCTAATGTGATCTCTCGCAGAGGCAGCTCCCATTCTTTGTAAGGCTTTCGTTTTCAAAACGGAAGGAACGGTGACAGCTTTTAAACATGACACCAAAAACCTGCTAGATACAGCATTAGAACTGGAACCTCAGAACAAGGAAAATCTGGCAGCTCAGAACATAAGCGAAACATAGGGATAATTCCCAAATCCAAATAGTTTGAAGACACTTGGTGAAAATGCTTCTAAGGAAAAAATCTGATTCAGATCCTACAAGGGCCAACACGAAACAATCTTGTGCTATCAATCCCCCTCCTACTAGACTACTAATTAAAACTACAAAAAGCAGTCACAAAGAGCATCCTTACAGTAAACCCCAAACAGTAGCTCACTCAAGGGGCATCCCAAGAAGCAGAAGCAGCCAGAGACCATAAGAAACCAAGTGGAACTTTGCTCTGAAGGAATCACAAAGAGCCTTAAAATTCATCCACAACAGGCTAAAAACTGAGGCCAGAAAGGACCAAGGACTGTTGAGGAAATTTGCACACACTCTTAAGACTGATTCCAAGTCAGAGCAGCAAGGGTGAAGCAGAGAGATTCACACTGGAAGAAGACAGACACCAAATAGGAACTACTGAGAAACAACGAAGCATGGCAATGTCTAAAGCTCTATTTATGGCATTCTACAATGCTGTCAACAACTGGCTCAACTGGAAAGGCCAGAACTTCACAAGGCCAGCAGCTAAGCACAGAGGTGCCCAAAACCAGCCAGGTACAGAATGACATTCAGCACAGCCTTGACCAGGAAAGGCATCTTCGCACAGGTCTGCTGAAATTCCCTATGGGAGATGACCTCACTTCCATTGCCAGGAAGCATTTGTGTTTTTTTGGAAGCAGGTGGCCTGGTTCCGCAGGGCAGCACTGCATTTACTCTGCTGCACACCACA